GATAACATTGCAAGTGAGGATCTAAACATTAGCAAGAAAATGAGAAGTGATTGTTATACGTCTTTCAGCAAGCATTATCTCCTTCAGATCTCTCTTAATAAAAAATAAAAAACAAAAATCTCAGAGCCACATAACATTTTGTTTCTGGGAATTAGCATCTTTACACTTTCATTACAAAAAGCCAAAAACTTAAAAACATGGAGAGAAGAAAATTCCCAGATCAAGGTTTAAGTGATGAGATTTTGTTGAGCAGGGAGAGGGACTATTTGTGGATAAGAGAAATGAAAGGGGAAGCCGGGAAGGGGAAGAGAGAGGAACGTGACCGAAAGAATTCTCCATTAGCAACATTCACTTTCTCCATTAAAAGTGTGTTGATGTAATTAATAAAAGGGAAATTACTGAGGAACAAATTTTTTACCATTTTTTTTATATAATTTTACTTGTTATTTAACTAGTTAATTTTTTTTATTTATTCACAACTCATAATATTAGGTAATTTCATTTATTTAATGAAATGTAATAATTATATAAAAAAAATATGTATAAAAAAATTATTTCTCTATCATTTCTCCTAGTAAAATTTAATGAGATGACTAAATTATATGATGTGTCAACCTTTTATTGGTTTGGAATACCATCCATGTGGTATGTTGGTGACACAGAAGATTTTCTCTTAAAATTATTGTCGTCATTTTTCTCAGCCAATATTGTTATTCAACTCCTTGTGTAATTGTTTTTACTTTATTGTTTGATGCAATTCAAATGGTAAAACAAGGTCCTCTTTTCAAATTTTTCTTAAATTGAGTAATTTTTCATTTTTATTATAGAAAAATATTCTTTTCCTACTTTATTCTTATTTATATTGTTTGACTTTCTATTATCAAAATTTTTCTTTATTTTTATTTTTTTACTAAGGGCAATATAGGTAAATGAATAAATTGTTTAAAAATTTTTAATCCATAGAGAAAGTGAAAAATAGAAAAAAAAATAACTTTTAGAATAAAGAGTATGTAACTTTAATACATGTGATGTAATATGTCAAGTCTTTTTTTAATTGCACAATAAAAGGCAACATTTCTATATCTTTAACTCATCACACACTCTTATACCGTGCATGCAACTCAAACTTATAATTTTTTACTTTTATTGAATAGATATTTCCACTAGATTACTTAATTTGATACTATATTTTTTTATTTTAAAATAACTATTATTTTTTAATTTTTTGTAACAAATTAAAAATTTATAAATTTTTTTTTCTTTTTATCTACTCCATCTATCTCATAATAATAGTTGACTTTTAACTCAAATCTTATCTCAAATTAATTTTCATTTTTTTTCTTATTTTATCATATTTTTCATAATTTAGTGGTTTTTTAACTCACCAACCCTTTTACAAACGGGAGATGAAATTTCTATTGACGTAGGAATCCCTTCTACAGAGAATTTGATGAGTTACATCACCTTGAAGACATCTTTCAAGGGCAACAGATGTTGGGCAACCAACCTCACTGTTTTATTTGGCAACATAACCTTTTTGGGTACTATTGGGATTGGACCCAACATCCAATCTAGGTCATACACAACAGGCCCAATTGTACACTCATGAGCCCAAAATGAGAAGACATACCCATGTAGGCAGTAACACATGGGCCAATCGGATGCATACACATGTAAACTCATATCAGTAAATGGGGCTATAAATACCCCCAACTACCTTCATGCAAGGTATTAATTCCACTATGCTTCTCTCTTTGCAATTACTCTTTGAGAGCATCTCTCTCTAGAATATTGAGCATTGCTAACGAGAATATTGAGTATTGCTAACTTGAGCGTTGGATTGTTTTCCTTGAGAAAACATCCTCGGGAATTTCAACTATTGAAGCAGTTGAAGGTATCTACAGTATTGGATCGTGAAGCTGCCCAAACATTTGGTGCGGCCTGTGGGAACCGAACAAAAAGTGCTGTAGTTTAATTGGCTTGAGCTGAAAATGGTATGCACCTTTATAGTAAACTGCCCCCGAGAGGCAACATAGACGACCATGATAATATTCAACTCCTAGAAAGTGACCTCAATGACTTCCAAACAATGCCAAGAAACCTTTTTGTTGGCGGAGCAGAGCAAGAATAATCAAACACTTTAGATGATGAAAGAACACCTACTGGGTATACAACCCAACCTGAAGAACAGTTTCACATCTCGGCGGAAGCCAAGTGAAGGCATTCCAAGCATAATACTTCACGACTTGAAGGACCCATGGAATCTGCTCGGACGATCGAGCTGGAAGAAAGAACCAGAGTTTTAGAAATGGCCATGGGAAAAATCCTCTCTTGTCCGATCCTTGATGACTCCCTAATTCCCCTATTGAATAGGGGTGAGCAGTCAGCAGCAGTAGTTGCAACCCATAATTCCCCAACCTTGAGCAATGTGGTGGTCCCAACCAGACTAAGAGGAAGTGGGAAGTTAAATCTAGAACCCAGCTCATCAAGGCACAATGAAGAATTATTAAAGAAGAATGCTAATCTTGAAAGACAACTTAAAGATGTACAGAGGTCTATTGATGAGCTGAAAAGCCCCAAGTCCCGCTCTCAACTTGTCCATTACAGCAAAACCATATTAAGAGGGATTTAAGATTCCTCATTTAGAAACATATGATGGCTCGGGTGACCCGGACGAACATTACATACTTATCAGGCCATCATGAGAATTTAGAAAGCTATTGATGCTATGATGTGCAAAGTTTTTCCCGCAACATTGAAATCAACTGCCAGAAGTTGGTACCACAAGCTCCCTAGACATTCCATAGCTTCCTATTTTGAGCTCGCCACTCTGTTTTCAAACAAGTTTCGAGTCAAAGGAAAATAAAACACACCAATATCCAGCTGATGCAGGTTCATCAAAATGAAGGAGAATCTTTGAGGGACTATATGCAACGGTTCAACAAGTCCACTTTGGACATTGATAATGCCCCTAACACCATCTGTCTGTCCACTTTGTTGCATGGCCTAAAACCCGGCCGGTTCTTGGATGACCTGCTAAAGAATTTGTCGAAATCGTGGAACGAAATAAATGACAAGCCAACGAGCTTCATATTCTTAGAAGGCTTCCAATCATCTAAGCGACAAGTTGACGATAGATAGAGTAAAGAGCACAAACAACCAGCAAGAAAGGAAGAAAAGAAAAAGCAAAAAGTTGGCGAGCAGAGAGGAAAACCACCTTCCTTCCCAAAATATGCCAATTACATTCCGCTGAACTCGTCAAGGTCTCAAATATTGGCACAGATACTGGGTTAAGAGACCACTTCCCTAGATGCATGATTCCCTATGAGCTGATAGGAGCAAGTATTGTAACTATCACCGTGGATACGATCACAACACAGAGGATTGTCAGAGCTTGAAGGACGAGATGGAATTCTTAGCTCGTAATGAAAAATTGGAGGGATATGTACAGAAACCTTACGCCCAACAACCCATCAGACCCATTTTGTGCAAGAATATGCCCGATCTCAAGGGAAAGGATATCAGCTCGGCAACAATCAAAATCCTTATTAAGGGAGTCAATACTCATTTTAATCTAGTAGAACTTACAGAGGATGCCTATTCAACTGATTAGGACAGGGACAAAAAACCTCTGCACAGAATCAAAAAGACCACAAAGGAGTTTGTTATAGCGGGATACCCCCACCTTCTGGCATAATCAACATGATTTCTGGTGACATGCATTCAGGAGGCCAAAGTGCCCAAGGTTGTAAGGCTTATGCTCGCTAAGTGATGATAGTAAATAAGAATAAACCCCTGAAATGACCTTTTGAAGAAACAAAGTGGGAAAATGCACCAATTACATTAAGCTCGGTTGATTATATAAGCAGCTAAAGGGAGAACCAGACGTTATGATGCCCCATGCTGACCCATTTGTGGCGACAGTTCACATTGGCAATCACAACGTCAATAAGGTCTTCATAGATACGGGCAATTCTCCAGACATCCTCTATTGGAGTTATTTCCAAAAGATGCAGCTAAACCCGAATTCCTTGAGAAAGTATGAGAGGCCAATCTACGGATTTGACAATCAGCTCGTCCTTGTTGAGGGAGTTATTACACTTCCCATTTACGTGGGCATTGAACCACGGTTTAGGATGGCGTTAGTAGACTTTTTAGTGGTTAAGATGGAACCAGCCTTCAATGCCATAATTGGAAAAGCTACACTTTTTGAATTGAAAGCTGTCATCTTTCAACCACACCTATGTATGAAGTTCCCAACTCCTCAGGATATAGGAGTGCTCAAAGGGAATTAGAAAATAGCAAGAACCTACTACAAGATACGTTTAAGAAGGTTGAGCTCATAATAGCACCCAAGACCTCTGGTTCAGTCATTTCCAGACCGAGCGAGCCAAGTCAAGAAACGATGAGCATATCTGACATAGATCATCGACCCAAGAACGTGGAGCAGAAAGCTGAGCCAGTAGAACCGGTCAAGAAAGTCCCTTTAAACTCAGATGAACTGGAGAAAACAATGAAAATAGGAACCAAACTCACACTGGAAGAAAGAACCGAGCTCTTGGAATTTTTGAAAGGTAACCGGGATGTATTTGCGTGGACAATAGATGAAATGCCTGGCATCCCAACAGAATTTGCAATCCACAAGCTCAGTACAGATCCCACCAAGAAGCCAGTGGTTCAAAAGCGTCGCCTTGTTGGCCTTGAGAAGCAAGTTGCTATAGATGAAGAAATATCGCAACTATTACAAGCATGCTTCATCAGGAGAGTTGAATATTCTAAGTGGGTATCCAATCCTATGCTCGTCAAAAAACCCAACGGCAAGTGGAGAATGTGCATTGACTTCACCAATTTGAATGAAGCGTGTCCCAAAGATCCACACCCCTTGCCTAATGTAGAAAAGTTAGTAAAACGAGCAGCGGGACATGAACGCATGAGCTTCCTTGATGCTAGCTCAGAATATCATTAGGTTCAACTGTGGTTAGATGACCAAGAAAAAATGGCATTTTATGCAGGGGATGCAATCTACTGTTATGTCATGATGCCGTTTGGTTTGAAGAATGCTGGCACGACATACCAAAAGTTGGTCCAAGTCATCTTTAAGCTTCAAATCGGTAGGAATATTGAAGTATATGTGGATGATATGATTATCACTAGTCTACGAGGTGAAGATCATATTGGTGACCTGAATGAGGCATTTCAGAATCCACATTGAGCGTAGATGAAGCTAAATCTGTTAAAATGTACATTTGTTGTAAAATCAGGCAAATTCCTAGGATATGTGGTATCCAAGAAGGGGATTGAGGTGAACCTAGAAAAGGTTGAGGCCATGCAGCAAATGGAATCCCCTAAGACAATAAAAGATGTAAAGCGCCAACAGGTCGTCTTGCCACTCTACACAGATTCATTGCTAGGTCGGCAGAAAGGTGCCTTCCATTTTTCAAAGCTTTGCAAGAGCCCAAGAACTTCCAGTGAACGGATGAGTGCCAGCAAGCTTTCAATGAACTCAAACAGTACCTGGCATCACCGCCTCTACTTTCCAAGCCTGTCGAAGGAGAGAAGTTATACTTGTATTTGGGGGTTACAGATGAGGCAGTTAGCTCAGTTCTGTTAAGAAAGCAACATAAACACCATAAACCCATCTGTTGTACAAGCAAAGTCTTGTAGGGTGCTGAACGAAATTATCCAATTGCCAAAAAGGCTGCTTTTACACTCGTCTGCACTGCTCAAAAGCTAAGGGCATATTTCCAATCTCATGAGATCGTTTTGTACACTAACCTGCCACTGCGAAAGATATTGCAGAAATCGAAACTTTCTAATCGGCTAATTGGATAGGCAATCAAGCTGAGTGAGTACGATATCAAATTTCAACCGCGCACAACCATTAAGGGACAAGCTTTAGTAGATTTCTTGGTAGAATGCCGTCCAACGATCGTGGAGGAAACCACATAGTCATACTCGGTATGGGCTTTGTACGTGGACAGGGCTGCCAATGTTGAAGGATCAAGGGCAGAGTAGTATTACTAGGTCCAGATGGCTTCAAATCCGAGCACACCCTAAGGTTCAAATTTCAAGCAACAAATAATGCTGCTGAATATGAAGCACTTATTTATGGTTTGAAGTTAGCATCTAAGCTAAAAGCGTAAAACATAAGAGTCTTTAGTGACTCCCAGCTTGTAGTGAATCAAATAAATGGAAGCTATGACATCAAAGACCCGCAGCTCGGTCGATACACCTATGTGGTCAATAGATTGAAATCAAGCTTTATCTTGTTCCAAATTGACAAGATACCGAGGGCGAATAATCGACGAGCTGATGAGTTATCGAAGTTAGCTTCCTCACAAGACATCAACCCTTAGAGGACTACATTTGTCGAAGTACTAGATGCACCAAGCTATACTAGTCTAGCAATTGAGTATCAAGTATTAAGAATAGATCCCTCCTCACTAAGTTGGACTACACCTTTGATTGATTACTTACGAAGCGGTAAACTGCTAGAAGATCCATCTGATGCTCGATTGATCAGACACAAGGCAGCACATTTCACGCTAATTAAGGATCAATTATACAAGCGAGTTGCTTCAACGCCTTTATTATGTTGCCTCACTCCTTATGAAGCCAAATATGCTGTAAGAGAAGTTCATGAAGGAGTGTGTGGCACACACATTGGGGGAAAAACCCTAGCTCGAAAAATCCTAAGGCATGGATACTACTGGCCTACTATGGTTGAGGATGCGCAAAATTATGTCAAAAAATGTCCAACCTGCCAATTCAACACTGATGACATTCACATGCCAGGTAACTAAGCTCGTTCTAAAGTTTACACAAACTTTACATTTGTCTCCAAGCTAAACGTGAAAGTATCTTTTGGCACAAGCGAGAGGCTATCGTCTCTTGTATCACCATGGCCTTTCGCCCAATGGGGAGTAGATCTGCTCAGTCTTTTTACAAAGGGCAAGGGAGGTTGCACACACCTCATACTTGCTGCGGATTACTTCACTAAGTGGATAGAAGCAAACCACTGTCCATAATGACTGAGAAGAAAATCGAGGAATTCCTATTCCATTCCATACTGTGTAGGTACTCATAGTTTAAAACATACAATATTACATGCGCAAGCACTTGTGCCTTAGTCAATGCGTTTGTGCTCAGGTTCGGCATTCCTATGCGAATAATTGCTGATAACGGACCTCAGTTCCAAGCAGTGGCACTCAAGTCGTTTTGTGATGACTATAACATCGAACTAACCCTTATATATATATTCCACAGTCAAACGGACAAGCAGAATCAGCGAATAAAATCGTTTTACGTGGTCTTAAGACGTGTGTCCTGGCGGCACAATCTAATTGGGTTGACGAGCTCAACAAAGTACTATGGTCATGCTGCACCACGCCCAACTCGGCCACTGGTGAAACTTGATTCTGCCTTGCCTGTGGAGCTGAGGCTATAATCCCAGTGCAGATTGGCTTGTCAACCAATGGGTCAACTCGTCACAAGGATTTCAATAATGAACAACTCCCTGAGAGAAAACCTAGACTTTGTTGAGGAAGTTAGGGAGGTCTCTCGAATAAAGAACATGGCTTATCAGAATCACATTGCTAGATTTTACAATAAAAAGGTGCAAGCTCAACAATTTGAAGTCGGTGACTTAGTTTTACACAAGGCTGGGCTCACTAACGCTTATTCGCACATGGGTAAGCTCGCTCCAAACTGGAAAGACCCTTACATAGTTATTTGTATTAAGCGACCTGGGTCTTGTTTGTTAGTAGATCTATAAGGTCGTCAATTACCATTCACTTGGAGCATACATAACCTCAGGAAATATTATAGTTAATTTACTTAGAATATGCGAAATATGTACATAGTTCAATGAACACAGAAATTCCATAAAATCTCCAAATTCGTATTTCTATTCAAAATTTACAATTGAAGTACAAGAGATAATGATTTGAATGTTTAAATGGGTCAAATAACCAGTATAAAAGCACAAAAGAAAAGAAACAATCCTAAACTAATCATCCGTCAGATCGACGGGGATGGACGCGTCAACAGGCACAACAGAAGCTCGAGCAAAAGATGAATGAGTTGGAGAAGAACGAGTTGGGGAAGGAAGAGCTAGAGCAATGGCGGGTTGGGATGAGGGGGGAATGCTTGATGGTTCAGCCTCTACTTCAAAGGGCTCTACCACCCAAGCATCAAAGCTTATCAAGCCCTCGGTATCCTCCCTCTTTTCCACAATGGATGAAGGCCACACCAGCACTCCTTCTTCATTAAGTTCCCACCTCAACCTCATCGTAGCATCAGCAGGAGGAGCGAGACTCTTTCCTTGCTCATCCATCTCTTCCCCTTCGAAGAAGGCCAACTCGCCAATTGGGAAGTCAGCCCGATGCCATAACACCTTCCCACGAATCTCGTTATAGATATCCGTGGTGGTATTCGCTGAGGTGATCGCCACGACATCTTGGAACATATCAGCTCCAACTAACCACTCTACCCCTTGTGCCCAACCAATACAGACAAAGCGCTGGTAGCACTTATTGATTTTACCCAATGATGCCTCAGCTCAGGCAACATTCCGATTTGCTTCTGCCACCCTATCCTTCAGGGAGTTCAACTCGTAAAAGGCTTGATCCATGTCAGCTTCAGCTCTTTTGGACCGGTTTTTAGCACAATCGGCCTCATCCTTCGCAGCTTGGATGTCGTTGTTCCTCTCGGCTTGAGCTTTTTCCAGCTTCTCCTTCAACTCGTTGACCTTTTAGGCCAACCCGTCAGCTTGGCTTTTCGTTGACGCTACTCTGTTCGCCATCTTAGAGCTTTGTAAGCAGTTAACTTTGTCCTCCAAGCTTGCTTTATCAGAGGTCAACTGCTTGCGGCTCTCCTTGAGCTCATGGTTTTGTCTGCGTGCCCCCTGCTCACACTCAAAGAGTGGTACAGCATAGCTGAACACCTACCATACGAAGTCAAGTGTTAGTTCCTAACGCAAACTTTTATAACTGTAATAAAATACGTGGCGAGAATACTTACGTCCATCAACTTTAACATGGCAGCATGGTCCCCATGCTGTTGAATGTGCCTCTTTGCACGCTGCCAATCTACATAAGGAACAAAATTTTGCATACCTTGCACAATAGTGGCTTGGAAATTAGCTTTCAAATAGCTGAAGCCCTCAAGGTATGTAATCTTAGGGCCCCCTATAGAAGCGGATGCGCTCAAAGGCTCAGCCACAACGTGTGCCAGTGCAGGTAGCACGTTCGAAGTGCGAGCAGCAACAAGCTAAACAACCTAAGCCCCAAAGCTCATTCTCTGCCGGATGAGTGGCATGCCATCTTCAGCATCGCAGACATCCTGAACTTGCCTTTTCAAACTTGAAGGCGCAATTTCAACTCTTTACTCAGCTTGAGGTCTTGATGCCAAGCTTGAACTTCTATGGGACGAACTGCGCCCTAGTGCCACAAGCGGCCGCTCATCAAAATGAGCCTACCTTTGGGAACCATACCCAGTTCCACAATTCCTCGAGCTTTGTGCTTGCTGATGTTGCCTCTCTAGTATGCTGCTCATTTCTCCTACACAAACAAATGCATAAAACTTAAATCGGCTAGAAATTACAGTATGTAATAGAAATATTACTTCAACATACAGGTTTGCCATGTTGACAAACCCAAGTAATGCGAGCTACTTAGGGGTAACCAGGGCTTTTAAATCCACTAATCCCTCAACCTTTACATAGTCTAGCAGTTGATTTTTTCAGGTCGACGTCACGAGGGGTCAGTTGAGGATAGTTCATGTACGTGTTTGGTGTACGCCACTCAGAAATATGGGCAGCGAGCTCGTTATTCATCCTCTCTGTTTGCATGTAACGAACGAAAATGAATTGCCTCTTCCACCTCGCCACTTTATTTCTGATGTTTGTAAAAAGCATCATCTTTTCCCTCCTGGAAAATGTAATACCAGCTTGTTCCACTAGTAGAGGGACATATGCGACACAAGAAGAGCGACTTGAAAACCACAGCCTTTGCAGGTATCTCCAACCTCGCACACAACATTATAAACCCTATAACGAACTTTATGCTATTAGGGGTCAGCTGCGTTAGGGCCAACTCGTACTTTGCCAGAACGTCAAAAATTAGCCCGTGCAGAGGAAAACGTAGATCGGCGTCAAAATAGTCTACATATACTGGCACCCAGCCTGTCCTCGACACTGTACACACCCTCTCATTTTAGGTACCAGCTCGGATTAAAATTGTCCTTGGAATCTAGTATTGCCTCACCATTTCCTCTAACTTCTTATACCCCTTAACCGTGGCTGAGTTGTCTACAACATCATGATGCAATGCCGCCCTGAACCTAAAATTGGTAAAGAGAGTCTTTGGTGCTTTACGGAGGTTATCCAATCTCCTACTAATAACCTTATTCTCCCATTCTTCAAATGCAACCACGTTCGCCTCCGTACTTGTCACCGACGAACTAAGAACACCTTCTTCAGCATCCCCCACATCACTGGGTGTCCCCTTTGTAGACGAATCTCTAGAGGCTGAAGAATAGTGGTTGCCGGAATCACCACCTGCGCTCGAACCAACGCTACTCTCCAATATAATGGTTTCGGGCAAATCCTGCAGTTCTGGCAACACTATCATGGTAATCGGTTCCACTAAAATAACACCCTCTTCTTCTTCCTTCCCCTGGTTACCCCGAAGCTCTCTTAAATCTTGAAAGGAATCCATTTTTACCTAAGTATGGGAAAGCTGATGTTCTTCTGCTTTAGCGTTTTGAGAAATGCACATGAAACACCTCTGTAACCTTTGTTGCGAAAAATGACAAACAGTACTCTAAAATGAAACAGGAAAATGGTTAAGTGAGTGTTTCTATGGTTTTTCTCACAAACCAGACCCCCATAAATGCCATACGCGTGTTTCTAACATACTAGTTAAACACCTACACGTGGCAGCCATTTACGGTTGAGTGTAGAAAACTCGTCGCTTACAGCTGTCACGTTCCCTCAGATGCTGAGCTAGCATTTATTGTGGGAAGGTAGAGGATATCTTTCGTTGGCAGAAGAATACCAAACGCCCTGACCGTATGTCCTCATAGATCCGCCTCATTTTAAAATTTGAAAAATCCCGAAAGTTTAGATCGTAACAAATCTCTTCGTACGTATCTCCTTAGTGATCTACCTCATTTTAAAATTTGAAAAATCCCGAAGGTTCATATCGTAACAAATCTCTTCGTACACATCTCCTCAGAGATTTACCTTAGTTTAAAATTTCAAAAATCATGAGGGATCAGGTCATAACAAAACGCATTTCTTCAAAGATTTGCCTCAGTTGGAATTTTGGAAAACACCAGGGATTAGGTCGCTACCAATTTCCTCATATTTGTTCTGTACCTCAGGGATCTATTTTATTAGGACAATGGAGGTCGCACACTTCAGCTCGTCTTAGTATTCACATCCTCTCAGTTTTGTTTTGGTTTATTCTCGTAATAGCATGGCAACCTCAATACTTCATTTGAGAACTTTTGAAAGGCTATCGTGATTCAGATCGTCAGATGTTTGCTCGTTTTCACGTTAGTATGGATGAGCTCACTACATAACGCATGGCACCTTGTATGTGACACATGCCTTGCTAAGAGATCTCATCTCTTCCTAAATCTACTCCATTTGGAAGTTGAAAATTCATCATACGAGCTCGCCTTTACAAGCTCATTGAACTCGTTGATGAACACCGAACTCACACAAATAAGATTATTTCGACATCAACTCACCTACACATGTTCGATAGGAAGTCGATATATCTATAGATACCCGATGAGGTCACCCTGAGTTCAAGCCACCCAGTTCAGCCGTGGCTGAGGTTGTTCATAAAATCCAAAGATGTTTACCCCCCCATTCTCCAGGTCGAATGTTGGGCCACATGCACTTTCAACCCAATTCGTCAACCGAACGCTGAGAGGGGAGTAATGTTGGGATTGGGCCCAACATCCAATCCGGGTCATACATAACAGGTCCAGTTGTACACTCATGAGCCCAAAATGAGAAGACATACCTACGTGGGCAGTAACATGTGGGTCAATTGGATGCATACACATGTGGACTCATGTTAGTACATGGGGCTATAAATACCCCCAACTACCTCCATGCAAGATAGTAATTCCACTACGCTACTCTCTCTACAATTACTCTTTGAGAGCATCTTTCTCTAGAATATTAAATATTGCTAACTTGAGTGTCGGAGTGTTTTCCCTGAGGAAACATCCTTAAGAATTTTAGGTGTTGAAGCAGCTGAAGGTATCTATAGTATTGGATCATGAAGCTACCCAAACAGGTACCCAGTTGAAAGGTCATACACTTTTCTTGATTGTGCATATTCTTTTTCTTTTCTTTTTTTTATTAGCAAAAAAATAATCTTTATTAATGAAAGTACAAAGAGTACTCCAAGCTCGTTTATTAAGAGATAATTTCTCCTATATCAGCTTACAGTTTCATTACTCTAGACCACAAAGTATCAGATTATAAGTAATCAAATCAAAGACTTATTCCTTAGCCTACAAGCTTCCTTTGGTGACCTCAGCCATAAGTCCCAATCAAGATCAAACTAAATATTTGCTTTAATCCAAAAGAATAATCGACACTTGATAAGCTCTATTTAGCTTTTCCATTGTAAGTGCCTCCTCTTGGAAGATTTAGCCATTTCTCCATAACCAAAAGGATCATACAATACAAAACTAAATGACTGTCCACACCTCTTGTAAGTTTTTGTTGGGTGCTAAGCCAAAATGTTGTAACATGTGTTTCCAGCTTTCTCTTTGCGATGCCACCTATATGCCCCACCACTTATGACAAGAAGCCCAAATCAACCATGATGTTTTGCATTCGAAAAGTAAATGATCAGTGGTCTCAAGTCACTATCCACAATGTGTACAAGAGGAATCATTATCTAGAATTTTAACTTCTCTTCGCAACAAATTTTCTTTTGTTGGGATTCTGATTTGCAGTGTTCTCCACACAAAAGCTGCCACCTTAAGGGGTAGGTGCTTATTCCAAATTGTTATGTATGTAACAACATTTGCTTCCCTTGATTTTGAAGATAGCCTATTGTACATAGAGCATACAGAGTAGCCATCATTGTGTCCATCCTTCCAAATCCAAATGTCTTGCTACCTTTGTTTAAGGTGCGCACCCTTTGTAAGTTAGATTGAATTGAAGTTCCTACAAAAGAATAGATTCCCATACGAAAAGAGCTCTCCTCCATCTCTATCTTCATTGCTACTCCCACTCACTCTAACCTCCCATTTCAGAAATTAAAGCATCTTTATCTTTCAACAAACTATATAATCTATTATATTTTACCTTTAAAGGACTACTTGCCACCCATATATTATGCCAAAAAAGAGTATCATTCCTTTCCTCAACTAACTTAGAGCATGTTTGGTGAAGCTTATAAGTGCTTCAATTTTTTTGACCCTATTCATATTTCATAAGTTTAAATTTTTATTGGAGGAAAAATTTAAAAGTTGCTTTTAGAAGAGTAAAAACTGAGTAAAAAATGAATAAAAAGAAATTTTCAAAAAACAAAAATTTGAAACTTTTCAAAATTTATTGTTTAAAGTTTTTTTAAGGTTAAAAAAAGGTTAAAAAATGTAAGTTTTTAATAGGGAAATTTAAACTTATGAAACATGAATAGTGTAAAAAAAGCTAAAGCACTTAGAAGCTGAACCAAACATGCCCTTAATCACACTCATCCTAAACCAACATTCACTATTATTATTTTCCTTATCTAGCTCTCATAAATCAAACCACCATCTCGAGCTACCCCCCCTCCATGCACCCTTCTCCCATTCATTTCTCCTATTTATATTATGCTTCTCTGTTAGCACTTTTCTCCACAGTGAATCTTTTACTTTTAGCAACCTCCACCTCCATTTTCCTAAAAGTGCTTTATCAAGCAACTCTACATTCCTTACACCTAAACCACCCTCCTCCCTCATTCTATAAATTTTATCCCATGATACCCAAGCAATTTTGTTTTTTACTTCACCCCTTCCCCATAAGAAATTACGTTGAATTGAAATGGTGAAATTGGTTACCTTTTTGGGTGCCTTATAGCATCAAAAGTAATAAACTGGGATGCTCGAAAAGACAGAATTCAAGAGTAGGATGTGGCCACCAAAGGATAGATTGTTACACCTCTAACTAGATAATTATTTTCCTCAAGCAATCAATTAAAGGTGTCCAAGTAGATTATTTTTTCTAATCTACCCCCACCAGAACTCCCCAGTATTTAAATGGATTTGAACGTACCATGCAATTCAACTTCTCAACAAAAGTCTCAAGACCAATATCATTCACATTGATACTATACAAGGCACTTTTATGAAAACTCACCTTAAGGCCAGAGGCAAGCTCAAATCTTCTTAGTATGCATTTTATAGCCCACACATTCTAAGCCGAAGCTTCACGAAAGAATATTGAATCATCTGCAAATTGGAGGTGGGAAATCTCAAAATTCCCTACACCAACTGCTACTCCCCTATAAAGATCCATCTCCACAACATTTTGAGTCAATCCATTCAATGCCTCAGCCACCATCAAGAATAGAAATAAAGCAAGGGGATCACCTTGACGAAGCCCTTTTGAGATAGGAAATTTCTCTATTAAACTTCCATTTACTAGCACTAACATCCTAGCTAATGATAGTAACTCTTTAATCCATGCCCTCCACTTTGTGTTGAAGCCAAATTTTGCCATCATATGGTCCAGAAAACCCCAGTTAACAAAGTCATATGCTTTCTCAAAAGCAACCTTGATTATGAATACTCTTGGCTAGATTGGGATACTCGCAATCTCATATGGACCATATTGTTTACTTTCAAGATAAATGTTTTCTTATGGAGACTTCTACTTAACTAACTCAAAAGAAGAGAATCTCCTTGCCAAAGGTATTGATTTGTCTTGCAATCCAAATTGCATTATCTATGGGGAAATATTAGAGATGATGTAAACCACGCCTTTGCTTTATGTCTTATAAATTAATGGTTTTGGAAGTGCTATGCTGCTGCTGTGGACTCTCCTTTTCTCCCCAAGACTTTGCTTTTCATGTTCTTATGTAGCTTGCTTATGGACCTGGCACAAACCTTCCTTGGGACTATTAGTCACTTACTATTTCAGACGCATAGACTATTTGGCTTATGAGAAATAACATTGTTTTCAATGGATTAGTCTGGGATGAAGATAGGACTTTCAAGCTTATGCAATCCAAATTGTTTTGCTAGATTAAAGGGAGGGTAGAGAGTTCATGCTTCAGTTTTAGTGACTGGTGTCTCTTTCTTCAATTATGTGTTGCTGTTGCATAAACAAAACTCTTGAATTCTGTTGTGTGAAATAAATGTAATGGATTCAAATTACTCTTTATATTTTGGATTAATAAATATTTTGGATTAATAAATATTTTTTACTTGTTGAAGAAGAGAGTCAAAAATTATTTTCATACTTTAACCTTATTGTTATTTATTGCTTTTAATTATTTATTCTATTATTAGAATTTCCTTTTTATCTTTATCTATTTATATAAGGTACCCTTTAAATAAATTGTTCTTAAATTCTTAATTTTAATTAAAATTAAAATTTACCATTATTGTGGGACAGCTGAATTAATACAAAAATTCAAAATTTTGGTGTTAAGATGTGTAATTAAAGTTAAGAGAAAACAATATATTTATTGTAAAAAAATATTTGTTATATTAAAAAAATTTTAA